AAAATCCCAAGAACAATAAATTACAGCAGTAAACCTTTCCAGATGATGGATGTATGGAGATTCATCTCCAGAGCCTGCTTATGAATCCCTTGACTTCCTTCTTCATCCTGTGATCGAGTGATGGGAACTCAATCGAGTTGTAGGCAAGGTCAAGAACAATAGGATTTCGGGGCACTGCCTGGAAGTGAGGTGGGAAAGCTTCTATACGAGGAGTTTGCTTTGTGGTGGGCTCCCCAACAGCCGATTCGTATTCATCCAAATTCTCCATCAGTAGCTTCTCAACCTGAAAAGCCAAAACAGATGTGACATGTAATAAAGTAAAAATGGCGCTTGAACTGAAATTAGAGCATGAATTCATCTGCAGCACAGCAATATATGGCATGAACAAAGGGACGTAAACTGCAATCTTAATAGCCATAAATGAAGAAAATTTTAATTACTTAAGGATTCGGGCGATTCAATAGTTGGATGCTATTTCTGCTTTATTATTTATGTTATTCAATTAGGTTCCGGTCAAGTAGGTCATAGTGATCACACTTCACATATACACAGCCACAGAGATGTAAAAATTAAAACGTGAAAAACAGTTCCATGACTCTTGCCAACTTTTTAACAGTGGCGTATGTGATACTAATGAATGGGGTACAGTAGGTTTCTGTAAATTGTTGATTGATGTGTCATAATTCATGGTCGATGTACTTAAATTTGGTTCGTTCCCGATTATATAAAATCCTTGATAGCAACCTGCATGATAAATTCAGGAGGTCCAAGGTCAGAATCTGACCAAAATATACGAACCTCTTACAAGAAGCAAAAAAAAAAAAAGGTTGGAAGAACTTATGAAGAAGAAATGGGAAAAATATTCTTAGACTTGTGAATTGGGAATCATCTTATGAACCTGACTGCCATCATAAATCATATCCTGAAAGATAGCATGTGATAAAACAGACATAGGGCAACACACACACAAACACACACACAGAGAGAGAGAGAGAGGAGGAAAAAATGACCAATAGGCAATAATTACATAGGCTAAGGGGAACTCTAAATGAAAAGAATGCGATTGCTGTTGCACACCTGATCAGTGTTGCTCAAGCTCTGAAGCTTTTTAAGAGCAGAATCAACGAGAGTCCGAGCTCGGCAGAATAAAACATATGCTTCCGCCCTCTTTCCAGCCAAACTGTATGATTTGGCCAAGTAAAAACACCTGCAGCCATTGACATCCATCATCGCATCTGACCTAAGCCCACCCCAATAACTCTAAAAAGGCAAAGCTGTTATTGTGAGAAAATGATTCATGCACAGCACAGCTTAATTGATAAAATTAAAAGAGGAAGAGATCACTGGCATGCTACTAGATGGAAACAAAAGATGCAGACCATTATAGCATGATAATAATAAAAATAAAGCAATAGACCCAAAGATAAACCGTAACGGTCAATATGTTAATNNNNAAAGACATATGTAGTCAATGCGTCTATCAGGGTTAATCAACATTACCTTGATCAATAACATACACACCACCTGATTTTAGTTTTTAATGGATAATGTTAAGTGAAGGTAAGCAATAAGATCCAGAGGCAGACGCATACTCGCAAGGCTGAAGGGGCACAAACGTAACATTCACAAAGTGCGAAAAATAAAAAAGAAAAACATTATAGTTATTCTATGCATGTTCTTATATATTCTATCACTCATAATTACATAAATTCAAATCTTATTAAATATATCTTTTCAAATACCAATATTTTTTTTCTTTTGCATTGGAATATACTGGGTATGGTGTTGTTGTTGTTGATTGGATATTCTTACAACGTCAGTATTCATGGACTTCCTTGTAAAGATAATATTTATTTAGTTAAAAAATCAATGACAAACACAATTTAGTAGCTAATTTTAAACTTATAATTATAATTTTTAGAACACCTAAAATTCAAATGTATCAAAATCAATGTTGGCTTTTGTGGAAAATCGATGTAACTCATTTATATATGTTGCCTACAACATAATACAAATAGAAAATGCAAACAACTTAAATTTTGAAAAAATCTCTTTGTAATTATTCTACAATATAATTATATATGTACTAATTTTTTCAAAAAATTGCACAGGGGCCCGTGCCCCTACTGGCCCCTGCCTCCGTCCGCCCCTGATAAGATCTCAACAAATTGACCCTTAACCTTGTTCACTGCACAAGGGAGATAGGTGGGACATAATGAAAATGCAAACCTTTCTGCACGGAAGACAAAACTTTGGAGTTCACATTCCTCAGCAAATGTCACTTCTTCTTGTTTTCTATCTCTTCCTGAGCTGACCAGATCAGTAAGATCAGCAGTATTCTGAATCAAAAGAGTAGAACACGTGATCCTTAAACTCAAGCATATCAATCCAAATGTCAACCAAAGAAATAAAATTAGTATAGCATACAACGGCAACTGACCTGTAGCAGGAGATCATACAACCGGACAAGCTCTTCAGGCTTCGTGACTTTCTCATTTTTATCATCACGAGCCTTATTGAGCTTACTTTTTGCCATGCTCACTAATAACTGATTGCGTTCAATGGTTCTCTTTCCTAAGACAGCCCCAATAGCTTTGTCAAGGCCACTCAGGTCGTCTTTCATGCTCTCAGAGTTACCTGCAGTAGCCTGTACATCAAAGTACCATGTTCACAGTCACATACAGATAAACTGATATGCAACCGGCATCCTCAAGCTTACAGGAAAATTATTACAGAGACAGATTAAAATTCGACCTTTTCTTCTCCCAACACTGTCTATTACTAAAAGCCTGCAGCAAGAAAACAACTTATTTTATTAAATTCAACCCATACCAAGTCATTTCTAATGTAGCTCCTGGCTTCATTATAAGCAGCAAATATTTTGTCAAATATGACTAGCTTCTTTTCGGCAGGAACGGTATCAGCTGCTGGGCCATTAACATCCTTCTCCAACTCCTGAGCTGAACAAATTTTCATGCAACATAAGAGCTTCAGAGTGGGTAAACAAGCTGAAAGTTGCAAATTAAAACAATAAAGGAAACAAAGTTCTTTAAAAGGAAAGCAATTGACGAGCAAAAACAGTAGACACTAAATTTTTCCTCACCTATCATTTTGACAATGAAATCATAAACTACAAGCACAAACTTACAATCAATGCTTCAATATGATCAATTTATTCTCAGTGGAGGTCTATTTGACATATCAAATTTATATTTCCCACAACTCTGGCAAGGAATAAAAACAGAAAATTGGCCAACCATATGTCTGGATACCTTATATCCCCCTTGAAAAGAGACTAATCTTGAGATCTGGTTCTACCATTTAGCTATTAAACTGACAAGGAATTCTCAAGATTCTGAATTTACGTTCACCAATAACGATAAAAAGTTTTTACCATGATACATAGTACACACCCCATTCAGACAACTAGCAGCACCATTTTAGGAGCCAACTCAAATTAAACCCACAACTGTACATATGGAATTCAATATATTTACATGCCACACATACACAGGAATGCGGCCAATAAAAAATAAAAGTGAATGAAACAAATAAGTAACTGCAGAAGTCATGAAGTTCTAAACCAACTGAAAATCTAACTAGTTAGGCAAAGGGACCTGGAAAGGAAACATACTAAAAGTAGATGTGTAAGTGACATAGACAAACATACATCTATATCTTATTTTTATATAACCCATATAGTAAATATAATATATAATAAATAAGGTCATAATACGTTACTCTGCAATTTGGAGAAGATAAATCTAAACCACCCCTCTCAGGGTGTGAAATAATGTAATTCCTGGTCATAAATGATACAGTTGACCCAGTTGAATAACATAGATTTCATAAGCTAAATATATAAGGATTACAAATATCAGGCAGTGCTAACTCCCCTGGGGTCACCACAATGAATTAAACCAGTACCTAGAACTATAATTATTTGACCTGTCTGGGCTGCCTTTCCTCCAAAACAACCCCACCCAACCATCCACCCACACACTCACAGAGAGGTAAGTACATAGCACTTAGAAGCGGGGATGCATGATGTGCAATTTTTTCAGGACACCTTTTTTCAGTTAACATCAAAGAGGCAAAATAATAAAGTAGCAAGTCAGGGAAACTTTTCACACTCACCTTAGGAGTTCGGACCATGATAATGAGCTTTTAGAGAAACTAACCTTTAAGTATGGACACCCGAGTCTTTGCATTCGAGACAGGATATCTATGACCAAGCCAATGGAATTCAGTCATAGATGCAGCCTGCTGTGATCGAGCCTCAGCCATAACAGCCTGCCATTGAAGTGAAACCAAGACATAAGACTCATTGAGAGCCATCTCTGGCAAGATATATAGTGCCAAGGTACCTAAAGTTACTGATTGACAAAGTACTATCATACTGCACATGTATTACAAACATGCATGATAATGATAAGATAGATGCACCTCCAGTTTAGCTTTGAAAAGATCCAGGGCAGGCCCTTCCATTTCTCCGATATGGACCAGTTCAGAAGTCTGTAAATTTGACTCCCCAATTTTATGCAGACAATATCTAATACTAGGCTCAAGTTCCTCTACCCGCTCTCTGCACAAAACTTGGTTCTCTAGGTCTCCGTACTTCCCCAGTTCCTCATAAACAGCCCTGTCAAAATAATAAAGTCGAACAGCTTGACACAGATAAGCATAAGAGCAAGGATAGCCTTCGAAAATAACCTAGAAAGCAAAGAGCAGCACAGTAAAAAAACTAAAAGGAAACGATTTTCATGAAGTATGCATTTCATTCCATTCTTGATAAGAATAAATGAGATTGTACCTAGCACTTTTAAAACACTTCAAGGCAACATCCCAGTGCTGATCTTGTTCAAATAGCAAACTCCCTTTCATATAGGAGGCATAAGCCTGTAGATAGGACACAATCTTCATAAGATTCAAGCAACCAACATGATGAGCTGAAGTTGTAAAGTGATCAGGAAATGTAATCAATCGTCAACTGAACTTGACTGTAAAATAGAAAGAATAGAAAGAAAAAGTTAAACAAGACTGCAAAAAACATTAGCAATTAACAAGCCAATGTCACCCAACTGTGGTAATATATCGAGCCTCATAGAAGTAGAATATTTCAAAGCACTTACCATGAAAGATACCAAAGCTATCTTCAAGGTGTACGGTTGAAAAGTGTAATATCAAAAGTCTAAAAGGCATAACCAAACATATCATAAGACAAGTTGCAAATAAATTTCACTACGGCATCACAGAGGTGACAAGATTGATTTGGAAGGTTAAGTAGCTTATTACACCATCTAATCGAAATTTATTTAAATCATGTAACAGTCTTTTACCATAAGATTTCAAGCTGTTTAAATTACTGCATACCATTACTCAATAAGGTGGTGCTTGGAAATGGATTGTGATTGGATTTTTCCATCACAACCCAAATTTAACTCAACCCCAACCCTCCTCAATATTATCAATATAGTTAAATAATATCAATCAATCATCCTCACACATCACATCAATTTTAATTCACTATTCATCCACTCACATAATTTTAACTACTCATCACTTCCAATCACCTCTCTCCTACTTTTACATCAAATCAACTTTAATCATTTTATTTTAAATATTATCTTAATACAACCTCAAAATCCCACTCAAACCTAACACAACCAACTTTTTCAAAATTAACTCTGGTTAACCAAAATATCCAATCAAAAACTTATATCCAAGCCCACCTTAAACAATTTAAAACGCCTTATGAGAATGACGTCACTTTGCTCCTTGAATTCGACAGTTCCTGATGCGAAGTCAGAAGAGAAAAGTCGGTTTCTGCTATGTTTGTTTTTCATGACAAATACAATAGAACTTCTATGAGATCACAAATTAAAGAAACTACCAAACCCATGAATGGATTGACAAGCTAACAGCCAATAATCTCACGGCACTACACAAGCAAGAGAGGTAAAAGAATGAATTATACAACAATTTTTCTGGCTAAAGATAAAGCATAAAGGTGAGGTATAGCAGCCAATAGAAACAACTATTATTGATACCTCTGCTTCCAACGATGTTCTTGAATCACCCTTGATGGCACACAACTCTTGAAACATGGAAGCCCATTTGACTGCCTTCCTTAGCCTTCCGATAAGGTAGCCCCTCTGGCGTGCATTTGGACCATCCGGTAGTGTTTTCTTTTCCATAGCATGACCCCATGCTCTTTCAGCAGTATATAAAACCAAATGGAGAAACCTGACCAGGATCCATAGTTGTTTACCATAAAATGCAAATTTCACATTTTAAAATAATTAAAATATAAAATTTATGAAAGGTACTCCAGTTGAAGCCATTATCTTTCATTCCTTCTCACTAGTTTCATGCATTTCACAGAAAAGAGAACACAAAGAGTGAACAATGAAATCTTAAATTTTTCCAAACATCAACGGAGAAATTACAAATTAATTTCACTCATAATTTAGTAGGCACTGTAGGCTACAAATTGTGGACTGATGTTAATAAGTAGAGATATTAATCCTGCAATTAGATTAAAAAATAATATCCATATCAGATGCAAGTAACAAAACCATGCTGCACAAGTCAAATTGCTAATAATGTCAACAAGACATCATAATTAACAGTCGCCTATGGGATAAGAAGACAACAAGGTGATAGACCATGGCCTCAGCCCTCGGGCCAAGCAAGAATCCAACGAACTATATCTAACATGTCATTTCATGATTCAGAGTCAAACAAAGTCAATGTAAGGTGAAGATTATCCAAATAGATTTTCTTTGAAAGATGAAGAGTTCAGATATCTTCAACTAGCATATCAGTTTCATGTGGCGTGCAATGCCAGGATTCTGTATTGAACAAAAACAATGTTAGTTCCAGATTATATTGGTCAACTTTCTTTGGGAGATGAAGAGTTTAGATATCCTTAGCTGAAATATCAGTTACCATTAGCACACATTTACCACCACAATGGTCAGTTAATCTGAGAACGTCGATTAGCTATAGAGGTAAGACATTGTAACTTGCCCGCTATCAATAAAACATGTACCATAAAAGAAAATTCAGAACTACTAATGCTAGTATGGAGTGGCAGCCTATCAAGTGCTGAAAACCAAGTACTAGAATTGCAAAAATGCTCTCGCATTTTAGCAGAACTAAAATGCATCAGGGGACAATGATTTCGCATGCATTTAATTTTAGATGGGAAAAAGAATCAAATACATGACTAACTACTGATGAACCACGAGACAATAGCTTCATTTCAGAAAACAATACATTTGTGAGAAATTTGAAGCACCCCCGAGATGGGAGTTGTCGACTTAAAATAGGAATACAGAAAGAATCAAATGAGACATCCTTACAGCTGGGAAGGCATAAAAAAAGAAAACAGCACAGAAAGTCCATCAAATGTACTAATACAAACAAGAAATTGAATGGCAGCACCAGCTACCTGACTTCAGTCACTGTAGATGCAGTGACAGCTCTCTTTGTATACTTTCCACGGCCATGCGTGAACTTCAACGATTTGTATAGTCTTCTCAGCCGTGCACTGCAATACCTCCTATCGACTCGATGTGCATAGATTTCAATATCAGAATCACATCATCCATCAAAATCAAAATCAAAATCAAAATCTTAACAGCGTTAAAAAGCTGAATACAAGAGGCTCATAAAATAAAACTTCCTAGCTTAACTCATCATTCCCCTAAAAAAACCACAAATGCATTTTAAAAGAACTCTACATACAACCCGCTGAGAGCAAAACATATTTATACATCAAGACGTGTACACAGGACCACAGAGCATTAAGAAGATCGAATTATACCGGTAACGAGTATAATCACCGAAGCGCAATCCATGCTGCATCTGAGCCGATTTCAGGAGCTGCAGCACTGCAAATACCACCGCTAAAATTGAGAAAAATCTTCACTGCAAAACACGAAGAAGATCGTTACATGTTAAGTACCATTGACATAAAATTTGGGGTTATTTATCTGATCGGAAGCGGTCGAAATCTGTTCGTCGATTTCCATGGCCGCGACGTCTTTTCCCTTCGCCATCGAAAAATGGAGATGAATTTGAGATCCGAACAAGTGGCGGAGGCGGCGGGGATTGAAGGATTGGAGATTCCAAGGGTAGGGTGAAGAGAATTGGTCACAGAATATTCCGGCGGGTGATAGATTGCGCCGGGTGCCCAGTTAGGTTCGGGTCGTAACGTGGACTGGTGGATTGGTCTGCTTTCTATGTATCGGGCTGGGCAGACGGGTTTAGAATAAGCTTGACGTAACTTAAAAAATAATAATAATAATAATAATAATAATAATAATAATAATAATAATAATAATAATAATAATACGTGTTAAATGAGTTATTTTTTTTCAGTCGTCTATTTAGGCCAAAAATAATACTGAATTGTTATTCACGGCTTTCTATTACTACGTACTGCTCCCTCCCATTTATATTTTCACCCTTTAGCTTTCTCTCTCTCTACTCTCGTTATGTTTCGAACTCTTCGACTCTTTCACGTTTCGTTTTACGTCCAAAAAAATTCCGAAAAAATGTTACAACCTCGTAAAGGCTTAGACAAGAGATTCATGATTCTTAGTATGGTTTTTTCTTTTTTTTTTTTTTTCGTAATTGATAAATAAGAGTATAAAATTAAAATTAATTTAAAACAATAAAAAAATAAAATACGTGGAGTAAATTGTACAAAAGTTAGAACACATTTGATAGCCTAGATTGGATGAGATTCGCCAATTATCTTGCCCTAGTAAGACGTTTGATGCACGAGATTGAGGCCCGTAAATTCTGACTCAGCCAATGATTTTTACTTTTGTCGACAGTATGCAGGATTTTTTCATCCTAAATTTTCCGCATGATAGTTAGTGTCCCAACAGTAATTTTTTGTTCCTTTTACCTTGTTGTCCCTACTTTATTAAATTTTAGACTATTACACCCTTCCATGTACAAGATATTTCTAGATTGCCACTCCACCTAACACACAAACACTCATCATAAAGGGAACCTAAACTGTACAGTATAGCACAACATATCTCCCTTATGTAACCATGGCCGCACCTCGACCTTTCTTGCAGTCGAGGTATTTGTGAGGGTAATATTATTTTGGTTGAATATTTTTTTGCTTCCTAGTTGAAGGTTGAACTCGATCCAAACACACAACGCTATTATTCTGCTAAAAGAGTGGGTCTTGTTGCACACGAAGTCGAATGTATAGATGGGGTTCAAAATATCAGCAACGCCAAGAAAATTATCGACGTGTATTAAATTGTTTATGAAACATATTCATGTCGCTAGGGCTGAAATTAAGGACGTGTAGATGCTACAAATGTATCGTAATA